AGTTTTTATTTTATTTTATATTTTGCCTTATTCTATGAGGCTTATCAAGTAAACCAAAGATATAAAAAGTAGACTGAGTATCTAAAGTTCTAAAGATTACTTTATTTTTCAAAATTTGACTCGTTTTAGAAACTAGTAATACCTTTTTTTCAGATTTGAGAGCACGATTGTCGCTCAATTTTATGGCCACACTCATCTAGATCATTTCCAGGTTTGTTTTTCATCATTCAATCTCAAAAAACCTTGTGAACTTATATTTTTCAATAACAAGATAATTAAAAAAGCAATTCCGATAAAGTTTCCTTCATTACCAATCCATTAACAAGTTCGCTTTGTTTGCAAAAACGACCAAAGTTTTCTCCGATTGAATGACTCAAAATTGAAGCTATTTTGTTTTTCAAAAGCTTTCCTTGAAATCAATTTCAAACTTCTCTGCGAGATAATGAAAATTTTCGCAATTTCGAATTCAATTTGAAGCATAAAAGAAAAATTTATCGCATAACTAATTACAAGCATAGAACAATTTATCGCATAGCTAATTACAAGCATAGAAAAGTTTATCGCATAGCTAACTAGTAGGATTTTTGTTTCAAAATTTGAAAAAAGTTTGTACCTCAAGTTTTGCAACTTTTTTGTCTTGAATTAGACAAAATTCGAATGCGATGTTGGAGTGTTTTCTAAAAAGTGTCATCTTTCAACTATAATCGTAATTTTGGTCCTACTTTAAGCTATTTTTGATCTGTTTCTGTGAAAGTTTACAAAGGATGCGGAAAAGTAAAAAAAAAGTACATGTATATACCGTAAATATTCTGACAGGAGCGTCGCGTAGTCTAAGTTTACTCTCAAACAAACGCTCATTTCTCGACACCAGCACGTCGGTTTCTGCGCGCTTGGATATTGAATTAAGGCTCTTTCCCTGAATCGTGGTCTTTTGAAAGTTCCGTGGTCTTTTGAAAGTTCTGGGGTCTTTTAAAAGTTCCGTGGTCTTTTAAAAGATTTGTGGTCTTTTAAAGGTTCCGTGGTCTTTTAAAAGTTCCGTGGTCTTTTAAAAGTTTCGTGGTTTTAGTTGGCTTTAGAGACTCCAAACTCGAATTTAACTGTTTTTCAGCATCGAATAGCATTTTTTGGACGGCTAGGGTTGTCAAAGTCATTAAAAAATGTTACGGTTCTTCTATTCTATGTAAAATTACGTGGCTTTTATATAGATACTTTATTCATGACCTGAGATAAAGTGCGCTAGATTTAAGATTAAAACACATGAATGCATACACATAACACAAAAAGGGCCGATAAAAAGCAACACGATAAAATCTATGTAAGATATGGGTAGCACAGATAACGTCAAGGATCCACTAGAGCTTCAAGATCAAGAGCATCTACAGATAATTTAAAAGTTGTGATTAATTCTTGTTTTTCAGCTTAGCTTAATGGTCTTAGAAAGCTCAAAAAAAGCTCAAAAAGGATGCATTAACATATGCCGCATTTTATACTCGAACCCATTCAATGACTTTTCCAGATCTACTACGAGAGTGCCGATGCAAAGAAGAGACCAACGGGGATCAATTTCATCACTCCTTCACTCACCACCAATAGCAACCTCAACCCAGCCTATCGAATTTACACAATCGATGGAGATTATCAAGGAAGCAGCTTTGTAAGTGCCAGTATTTATTTGATGAATTCAACTTTTAGACGATACTCGAAATGGAGACCTATTCGGCGAATATCACCGAGGCTAACATCAACAATCATGAGCCGTTGTGGAAACTTGAGTACAAGACTACGGTAAATTGTTGCAATACAGTCTTGTTAATGTCTAAAGCTTGGTACTTTTGGGAGAAATTAGACTAGAATCAAAAAAAAAAGCTGAGAATAGATGTGCCTAAGAATTACTCCAACTTTGCTTCAAAAAAGCTAGAGCTATTGGGTTGGATTTTGCATTTAATCACACAGTCTTACATCTCATGATCAATTCAAGTTCGGCTCAGTTTCAGTTCTAATTCAGGCCAAGTTCAGGAGTTTGACACTTTGAGACTTCTCTTGGTCCTATTTTCTAAATCTTTTTGTATTCTGTAGTTAGATTTTTGGCTTAAACAAACCACCCAGTTGAGTGGATAAAGCGTCTTCAAAGGTGTGGTTAATCTGAAAAACCACTGTAACCTTCTATATAAAAGAGCAGTGTCTGTCTGTCTGTCTGTCTGTACAGGCATTTTCTTGGCCGTATTTTGATCAATAAAGCTAAAACTTCTTTAGAAAACTTTAGAGTCTATTGTAGTTGTGCCATTTAAAATTAAAAATTTAAAAAAATCGAGATTGAGTGGCACTACGGGGGTCAAACCGGATCGTGTGGCCAAACCGGATCGTGTGGCCAAACCGGATCGTGTGGCCAAACCGGATCGTGTGGCCAAACCGGATTGTGTGGTCAAACCGGATTGTGTGGTCAAACCGGATCGTGTAGACAAGCGTGCTCTTGACTGCGCCACGGCGACAAAAGACTGTGGCCAGAAAAACCCGCTGTTAAGCCGGTTGTTTTTTCAGTCGCTCGGCAGAGAAGGGAGAGTCAACGCTTTAGGGGGTCAAATCGTCAAATCAAATCGCTTTAGGGGGTCAAATTTCAACTGCGCTTTTACAAAAATCTAAAGCGTTTAGGCAAAAACTAAAAACGCCATCGTGTTGCCCGTGTCGAACTTGGGTAAATCATATAGTTTTGGTTCGAATTAGCGTCATATAGCGTCATAGTAGCGTCATAGTAGCATCATATAGAAAACCCGCTGTTAATCGCTTTTCGGGCTGATTTCTGGATAAATCAAAAAGAAAGATTACAGTTTCTTTTCAATTCGATTGCGAATTTGTGATTCCTCACCCCTTACCAATACTAACCAACTTAAACCTTCTGCTTTCAGGAATCTTACAGCATGAAAGACCTTTCCCCAGCCAGTTGGCACGAGTTAACCGTCCGATTCGAGAACGATCCCGATCTTTTCAGGAAATTCTACAAGTAAGCAATTAATTCCTCAAAAGAAGTTCTCTCATTTTCTTATTTTGGCCTTGTAAAAGTCGAATGACTTTATCGAAATACGGGAAGATTGAAACGATTTCTTTTCGAATTCTCAACTTTGATCAAAAAACTAAAAAGCTAAAACTCAAAAACAAAACTTAATAGCTTTTACAAGGGAATTTTTCTCGATTTCCACGTCCAGCAGAGTTTGAAATAAAGCTCAAAACGGAACACCGAACAAATTTCATTCGCCTTTTCCATTTACAATTTGCAGTTTCTATACACGAAACGGGAACCAATCAGACAATTGTCCCAATGAAAAAGGATGTCGAGAAGGATTTGTTTGCGGGATGAGAACAGCTCGATCACACAATGAGGCACCGATTTGTTAAAGAAAAAAAAGAAAAAGATTGGCTTTTTGTCAGAATAAAGTTGCCTTTTAATGAGTCATTCAGAGCCTTATCGTACTGCTAAGTCCAATAGACGATCATTGGCAAGGCAATTTCAATAAATGAATTTGTCAACTAGTTGTTGAGATTTTTGGGTACAAATTGCTCTTTCAAGTTCATCAAAAAATCACATTATCAAGCGTGAAAGGTTGCATTAAGCCATCCTAAGCCTAGGCCTAAGCCTAAGCCTAAGCCTAAGCCTAAGCCCAATCCTAGGCCTAAGCCTAAGCCTAGGCCTAAGCCTAAGCCTAAGCCTAGGCCTAAGCCTAGCTTTAAATGCAAATGGTTCATGGAAATGAGTTGAATCTTAGATTGGATTAGATTGAGATCGGATTGGCTTTTTGGTAGGAATAAAGTTGTCTTTTAGTGAGTCATTCAGAGCTTTACGTCATATACGAATTCAAGACTGAAACTTGGCAATTTTAACTTCAACATTGTCTTAATAAAATGAAAAGCAAAGACAACATGAGTTGCAGCTTCTATTTCCGAATATTAAAGTAGTCGTTTTGTTTAAAATGCAGTCATATGATTGAAATTTAATTGAATATTGAATATTGAATATAATATTGAAAAATTTTCTTTCAGTTTGTGTGGCATTTTTTAAAATTCTTACATTTTTGACATCATTTGATAAATATGCAAATTTTTTGAAAATAAATGAACTGAATAGAGTTTAAATGAAAGAAAGAACAGTTTTAGTATGCAAATTTCTCAGTTAATTTTAAAGGTTAATGCAAATTTGAGCAAAGCAGCAACTGGTTCAGTCATAAAAACTTAATACCTAACTTTTCAGTGAAGAATTAAGCAGTATGCTTTTCATTTCAGCTTACTGTAAGGCCAACCTAGGGAATTTACAGTTACTTTGAAATTTGCATATATTATCGATAGCATAGAGGCTAAATTCTCACCACTCTTCCTTTAAAAGATTGAATAATCGCCATTCACCAATAGTAGGCGGTTGTTGAGACATTCAACCATTGAAGGAGAGCCTGGAGTCGGGCTTTGGCAAAAATTGAGCTAAATATTGAAATTTATTAGCTAAATATCAGCTTTTCACATTTTCAGACAATCCCACCAACTAACAGTAAGCTTTTGTGAAATTAGACGTTCAACTCAACGCTTACAATTAGACTTAAAGACGACTTGGCCAAAGAATAGCTTACAATTAGAATTGAATTAAAACTAATAATACGGTGTTTTTTCTAAAATTTATAGAGAAATAGAGAGATTTCGGAATTCCATTCTGTTTTCCTGTGTCTATATTGTTTTATATTGTCTAAATAATTTTTAGAAACAAGAATAATTCTTGAGCAATGCCTTCAGCAAGTCTTTATTGGCCAGACAAGAATAATTCTTGAGCAATCGTCTTTATTCGCCTAGACTGTATTGGCAAAACAAAAACGCGAATCAGAATAAAACAACGAAGAAAAAAAGAAACACGAATCTGGCAGGCGATATATGCGATGAGATGAGTGAGGAGAGAGATCGGACAATGAAAAGCAATAATCTGATTCTGATCTGATTGATTTTTCGGGTGAAAACGTGCCCATTTACGCCATTGGAGCCACCGAGAGCGTGATTCCAGCAGTGAGGGTGCTCTTTCTGAAATTCTTTAAATTTATTCAACGAATGAAAACATTATTTACAACTAAATATTCACTCTCCTACTTAGGTCTTTTCTAAAAGCTGGCCTACTCTTGACATTTTCTAAAAGGTGGGCTTGAGGAGAGCTACTTGGTTGCTAGCATTTATAAAAATAGATACCGTAAATACTGTAATAGTACCCCACCCTCCTCGTACAGTCGCGTAGTCGCAAAAATTTTTTAGTATTTCATTTTTTTCAAAGCGCCCGTACTTTCAAAAAATGCGTCTTTGGTATCAAAAAATAGCTGAAATTCAGGGCTATTTTTTGATACCTAAGCGCGCATTGTAGCATAAACCAGTGTCGAGAAAAACTCGTCTAAAGCTAGACTACGCAACACTACGCACCGTCATTATGGGGCTGGGGTACTATTACAGTATTTACGGTAGGTAAGTCTGTTGGAAAGCGTAAAATACTCAAAAGAATACTCAGAAGATACTTAAAAGTTCAATAGCTTAGAAAAGCAGTAAGATTACTGTAGCCTTTTTCCAAGTGCACCTTTTAGAGAGCGATTTACTCAAGTGAAACATTATCTCTTTTTAAAATATATTTTTCTCAAATTGGAACCAATCTTTAAACCAAAATCTAAATCATTTTTCAGATAGAATTGCAATTTTAATAGATCTTAAGTCATCTTTTGCAAAAGTTACTTCTCAAATCAATATTTTCCGATAATTTCTTTAATCTTCAGAGCTTTTCCTTTACTTTGTACGATCAGCAACCAAAAAAAAACATTAAAAAACCAATAAAGTCTTTCAATTTGCGCAAGTAATTGAGTCACGCTTTTACGGAAAAGATTCCTGTAAAAAAAAAAACGAGAATTGGATCGACTGATACTCTGTAGTAATGAGAATTAGAAAATTCTTGAAAAAATATCGACTTTGAAGGAAACTAAAGAAAAAAATGGAAACTGAAGAAAAAATGAAAACTAAATGGAAGGAAAAGACTTTCAAACAGAAACGTGACGCATCTAGCGCACTAAACACACAAAACGGTGGAACTTAGTGCACCAGATTCACGCGTTTGCATGTAGCCAAGAAAAAAATCCTTCAAATCAGGCTTTAAATGAAGATTTTCACACTGTTTACTCATTTATCTTGTGCTGATGAATTGAATTGCTTTGAATTGATCGTTTAGAAATTGCTTTGATTAGCAGGAATGTAGGTTTGTTAAGAATTTGCTTTGATTAGCAGGTTTGTTAAAAAAATTGCCTAATTTTCAGTCGATTCTCGATCTCGTTTAGCTTATTAAGTTGAAAATATGCACCCAAACCTTTGGACGGATGAGAAAATGGTGGTCGGCATGATGGTTACTTTATCTTTGAATGAAGATTCATCTCTTGATGAGAGATGACAACCAAATCGACGGCCAACCATTTGATAGACCTTAAATAACTGAAAAGGAGAGGGTTGAGCCTTGAGATCGAAATACCTTTCGTCTGTAATCTTTGTGGAACATTCCATTGGAGAATGTCGTTGCGATGGAGATGAGGCTGAAAAAGGCAATCATATGATATGATAGAGAGTGAAGAAGGATCCAAAATTCAACGACTTATCTATCAAAATCAACTTATAGTTAAAAAGAGACTGACTGAGCCGGTCAAATGCTATGCGACCTATGCCATTTGACGCAGAATTTGATGCTGATTCCGAATCAGTATTCCGTTTTTGCTAAATGACAATATAAGTTATAAGCGTCTAAAGTTTTGTTAAGAAAACGTGGTCATTTCTGTCTTAGCGGCCTCCTTGCAGACCAGATTCCGTGTAGCCGTGGCCGAATGGTACGGCGTTTGTTTCCAAAGCGAGACCTCGCAAGTTCAATCCTCGCTTTCTCTTCTGCTTTTTCCAAGAAGTGCTAACTAGCGTTTTTTTTTGTACGGGCGCACACTTGTTAGTTAGACAATCTAAAGCGTGACTCAACTACCGTAACCTTTTAGATTTAGTTACAAGGGACTGATTGATTTTCGGGTGAAGACATTTACTCCATTGGAGCCACCGAGATCGTGATTCCGGCAGTCAAATGCTATAAGACCTATGCCATTCGACGCAGAATTTTATGCTGATTCCGAATCTGTATTCCGTTTTTGCTAAATGACAATTCGTATCTAGGGCACGGTTTTAAAGCGACTACCGACTTTGAAGACATTCGAAAAGGTCGAAACACTTGGTTTAGTTTTAAACTGCTGTACTATTTAATGATCTTTTAGTAGTATATTTATGTAAATTTCATATTCTATTCGTTTCTCATTTCTTTACCTCGGCGCACAAATGGATATCCCAAAGAATAAATCGCCAGCTTGATAGAGATTCCACGCGTTACCCAATGAGACAATAGCCGGGAAACCCATCACAATCACGCAAATACCTCAATTTTTACAGTTTTCAGGTTTTGTTTTTCGAATTTCCAACCTGTTAATGTCATTGTTGCCAAGAAATATCCTTGTCCGCCCTTGGAACTAATCATTTCCTGAAAATTGTTTTTAAAAAGAACATCTCAAAGAAAAGAAACCCTTTTGCTGAAGTAAACGAAAGCCAACGAGAAGAAACTGATTGTGAAAGTGAGAACCTGGAATTGAAATTTGATATAAAGAGGTTTTCTATAACAAATCAAAAGTCTCTTTTGTTTTCTGGTTGAACTTGGTGAGAATGGTTCAGTGGTAAAGCGAATCGGTAGACAGAAGATCGTGGGTTCGATGCCTGTTGAGTCATTTCTTTTTCACTTTTCTTGAAAAATCTTTCAGTATTTACTGTAGCTTTAGACTTTACAGTACCTTTAGATTCATTTTTATCGATAACTTACCGTAAAAATGAAATGAAAATTCCCGTATAGGGAAGAGACAGCGGCGGTCACTGGGCAATGTGAGGTCCCGTTTGGAATCGTATCACTCCATGCTGAGTAAAAAGCAAGACCCAATGAACACTAGAGATCATTTAGGTATTATAATCCATTATTCAAATACCAATTCTAGCAAAACGACGAGAAGGATGGCTTTTGTTTTGAATTTTTCATCCCATACCCTTTGATAGGTTGACGGGCGGAAAACGGCTAAACGGCTTTGGATTAGCTGAATATCTATATTTCTTTTGGATTAGCTGAATCTATATTTCAGCTAGTATTCATCGTTAGCTGAATATCTTTACGCTTAAAGATCCATGCTTCAAGATCCACCTGTCAATCTTTCCACAACGGAGATCATGATCAACGCAGCCGGAATCTGGGTGCCCATCAAGAGAAAAACTGACCACGGTCGCTGAAAAAGATACGGGAATTTACCCATACAAATTTGCATTTATTATAGTTTTATTTTAGAACGATAGAAATCACTTACATAAAGAAAACAGCCCAATGTGGTGATTGGTTGAAAAATTGTTCCTGATTCAAAAGTCGCATATCGACCAGCACCCGTCGAAATATAGGCAATACCTGAAAAAAATGGAACAATGAAGAGTTTATATAAAGTAAATGGCATTTTCAGTCCATTTTTCGATAGGTGTACAACGGAAATTCACGTTTTAAGCATTTAAAATTGACTTTTCAACGTTTTTTACCGTTATAGCATTTGACAAGCTCTATCTATTGGGTTGGTGAATTGAAAACTGTCGGCTATTGTCATATGTGACAGTTTGAGCACTTTCTTCGAAAGAAACCCATTTTGGTGTCAATGGAAAAGTTGTAGAGAATCAAAAATCAAGCTTATATCCAAATTTTCAGAACGATTCAAAAACTGGTTTTTAAGAAATGCCAAATTTACGAATTTTCACAAAACTTGCATTTTAAGCGAAACTGCTAAGTGTATCTTTTTGGAAATTTGGCTATAAGCCTAATTTTTGATTCTCTACAAATTTTCTATTGACACCAAAATGGGTTTCTTTTGAAGAAAGTGCTCAAACTGGGACATCTCCAGTCCTCGATTTTTGAGTCTCACACTTGTCTCACACACAAACCAAAATCCTACCACGAAAGAGGAATCCGCAAATTGCCTGTAAAATGGGCAGAAGTCGTCAATAATAATGGAAATTATTTGGAATGAATTCATGGTTTTATGTTGAATAGATTTTAGTTCAAAGTCCCGCAGTTTTCAATTCACCAACCTAATAAATCGCTGGAGAAAGTTTTAGATCTTTACAAAACTTTTAAACAATGGTATTCGCGTTAGATGATTCAATTTCCGTTTTCAAAGCTGCCACTTGAACTCTGATCTCAATCCCCCAACATTCTAGTTCTTTTCAACAATTCTGCTTTACTCATATCAGATAAATTTCGACGGGAAAATACAAAAATTTTGGCAGAGTTCACACCAGAGAAATGGAGAAATGGGGTACCCAGAAGTGATACTTTTAGCCTTATTACATGCCTTTTTGCCTTTTAGCCTTATTACAACGATAAAGCTTACAGTCCTCGAAGTAAAATCACTCACAATTCACAATTTCGCCCACTTCCAACGCAATGAAGAGCTTGTACTTTTTGCTGTGTCTTTGAAGAGAATAGAAAATGTAGACATTGAATAAATTACAGCAAAGTGCGCAACAACCTGAAATGGAATTTAATTAGAAAATGCTAAACTTTATACCAAAATTAATACAAAATTAAGTTTTTCTGAAGTTATCAGTGAATTTTTAAACTCTAAATGAGTCCACTAATCAATTTTAAGCTCAATTTCACAGGACGCTAATAAAGTTAAGTTAAAGATTATAAATTATCAATTATAAACTCATAAAGAAACTTTCCCACAAACCTATACAAAAATACATAATAGCCATGGCTTGTGTGTTCGCTGGATCGGCGGAAAAAATGAATCGATACCCTCCTATCATCACCATTTTGTCGCTGAATGTTCACTTATTTGTAAAGAAATAAATTAGAAGAGAAAAGGTGAAAAGCTATGAAATGAAAAAGTTTTAATTAGATTTTTGAAAATGTTAGAAGCCGAAGGAAATAATGGAATCGGTGGATCAAATTGAGTCATGCAAAGGGAAAGGGGTTGAGCTTTACGGGCAAATTGAAACTCGGTAATAAATTTAATGAGAAAACGGAACGATAAGTGCTTATAGAAGATGGGGAAATTGAGGGGAATGGTGAAGGGGAAAGCTGGGAGATGAAAGACAAGAGTATAGGGATGAATGGCTGATATGATTAGTGTTAGTGGAGATGGAAGTATTAGGTTGAGTCTTGATATGGCTTACTCTTTGCTCTTTGAAATAACTATTGCTTCAACTTCCAGTTTTTACCATTTAACTTACACTTTTTACCATTTAAAATCTCTATTCATCTGCTATAAGCAGCTTTTAACGCATTTGGAAATGCTTCTGGTTTTTCAGAGAGCAAGAAGCGGGAACAAACGCGGTAAAGGCCTAATAATGATACAGTTTGAGCCTTTTTAGCCCAAAGAAACTCATTTTTCTGCAGAAAACAAAAGATTAAGCATAAAAAGTTACCATTATAACCAAGATTTCAGCTTAATTTGTCATTTGTTTGTGATTTTTTCACCATTTTCCTCGAAAAACACGAATTTCTGCTGAAAAATTCCTTGAAATGCATCAAAATTTGGTCAAAAAGATGTAAAATGAAACAATGAACAACTTTTATTTGATGAAAAGCGTGAAATTAAAGGCCTAAACTAATTACTAAACCTTTAATTGTTTCTAAAGAGAAAAATTCCTGTGAACTGTTCCTTTTCGTGGCGCAAGCTCTGTGGGTAATCTGGTGGATTTGAGGTTTTAAAGAAAACACTCCGGGCTTTCAGATGCGGTAAAATAAAACTTGATTGAGGCACAAAATCCTAAGAAAATCAAAAGACAAAACGCTCAAGTCAGATGGCACTGTTCTCTGAGTTTAGCTGCATCTTTAACCGACCAAGTCCCTCAGGAACCCCGGCAATCAATTCCTCGTCCCCGAAAACCCCCGGGTACAAATTTACAGCAATTTACAAATCTTCTTTTTGTATCATTTCTTTTTATCGGCCCTTTTCGTGTTATGTGTATGACCTCATGTGTTTTAATCTTAAATTTAGCGCACTTTATCTCAGGTCCTGAATAAAGTATCTATATTCACAAAGCAAAAGAAAAATCCCTAGAGATGGGTGTCGAGGTGTGCTTTGTGCGGTGCAAATCGCTCTCCATTTGGCATATGTTCCCAAAAGATAGGTGTTCCCTTTTGGATCGGTCAAGGACAAGGAGGATTGAAATAGGACAAGGAGGATTGAAGAACTGAGCCGTGCCCGACTCCTGGAACGCTACTATGCTCAAATTCCTCGAAACAATTCCCGCCCCAAATTCGCCTGTACTTTGGACAAAAACATTGACTCTCAAAGACATCCGCTTTGAGAGTCAATGTTTTCGATTATCGTATGTCAAAATTATCGACTAAAAGTCCAGAGCCATTTGAATATTCATTGATTTAATCGACCAAGATAAGTGTTTCTAACGCTCCTGGGTTGGAGACAGATTTATTATCCCAGCCCTGCCTTTATTTATTTCGCTCACCTCAACGTCGATTCTTCATCATCGCTTGTGAGATTAGACATAGTCTTGAATAGATTTTCGTGTCAAACTAGTGTTTAATTTTGAATATAAATGAGCGTATGGGTGATTTTACGGGTTCATCTGCCCTCATTTAAACATTTTAAAGCCACAGGAGATTGAGAATTCTGAACCCATTGGGATTTCAAAAAAAGAAATACGAGAATAGGCGTAGAGAAATCTTTTGGAAATTATTGTACGCAGCAAAATTTTAGTTCCCACCAGAGAACACACAAATTATCAGATTAGAGGATAAAGACTTGTTTTGAAGAGTTTTGAAGGTAGCGCAACAGATGGGCACCCTGGTCGACTGGCCAAGAGCCTTGTTTCTTAGTCTGAACTCAATCTCTCTCAAGTTCATTCCCGCCGGCTAGATTCTTGGTTCTTCTTTCCCATCTATATGAATTTTTTTTCTTTCCTAGATTTAGGGTTGTGCTTGTGTATTGTTTGACATTATTCGTGTAAATGAATGTATTTTTTCAATGATACAAAAATGGAGATAAGACAAGATAAAGACATTGCAAGATTCAAGGAGTTCAGAGACATAGTTATCGTACTGATAAGTCCTATAGACGAACATTGGCAAGACAATTTGTCAATCAAGTTGTCAACTAGTTGTTGGGATTTTCGGGTACAAATTGCTCTATCAAGTTCATCAAAAAATCACATTATCAAGCGTGAAAGGTTGCATTAAGCGATGCCTGAAGCCTAGGCCTAAGCCTAAGCCTAAGCCTAAGCCTAGCTTTAAATGCAAATGGTTCATGGAAATGCGTTGAATCTTAGATTGGATCGATTGATTGATTGAGATTGAGATCGGATATCTGAAGGCTTTTATTAAAAATGAGATTTCATAAATGTTCTGAAAAATTCTGATATCTAAAAAATCTTCAAAACAAAATCTGCAAAACAAAAATCCTCCTTTTCTGCAACGAATCTCGAAAAAAAGAGAAGCAATTCAATTTGTTTCAAATCAAAAACGGAAAAAATTTTCCATTCTGGTCAATTGTGCAATAAAGCTGAATTCAAGGAAGTTTGTGTCCAAAAAAAACGCAAAACCAAAAAAGGAACTCTGGCGACAAAACAGAAAAAAAAGCAGAAACCAATTTTTCTCGACTTTAATTTCCGGGAATTGAACCGAAGAATTTCTTTTGGAATTCGAAAATTTTCAGTTAATTTTCGCGCTTTTTACCAATTTTCTTCCGGAAAACGGAAAATAAAGCAAATTTTTGAAACAATTTTTGAGATCAAGTCAAAAAGTGCGCAAAATTATATCAAATCGGCAAAGCTTTTCAATTTTCGCCAAATTTTTTTTGAAAACTAATTTCTCTCGTCCAAAAGTGGGTAATTGAGTTGATGGGAAACATTTTGGCACATTGGAAAAAGAAAAAGTGTGAGAGTAAAGTTTTGTTTCTTATTGGTGAAAGCAGATCTTTAAACCGGATCTAACAATAATAAGAAAGAAAAAAGTTGGATTTGAGCTGGTCTAACGGTTTAACGTTAGACCTGGTTAGACGTTAGACCTGTCTAAATCTGGTTTAACGAGATAGGGTTAGCCTGCAAAAATTCTCTGGAGCCGTCAAAAGCTAGGCCTGGACCTAGCCGAGCTCGAGATTAGCTAGGTTTTGACCTGGATTTACTGTTGACTTGCTGGAAAAAGTCCCTGGGTCCTTTAGAAGCTAGACGGGGCTTTACTGGATTCTAATCTAGCCAATCCTGACTTACCGGACCTGTTCCTAGGCTCAATTCGAGCAATCAATGCAATTAAAATACAAGCACAATTTGTTCAGCGTGACATGTGTAAGTTGTTCATTGTTAATTCAGATATTCAGATATGAAAACTGTTAATTGAAATTGGAAGCACCTGCTGAGTAAATGATAGAGTTTAATTTCCGAGCAAAATTTGTCTCTAAGCGCATTTGTGCGTTTCTGAACTCATGCTTTGCCTTCTGTAATATTTTGTTTCTATGATACACTAGAGGTGCTTCTCTTGAACTCTAAAATGTGCCAACTTCCTTGAGCTACCGTAATTTTGACTTTAATTTTTGATTTCTCTACATGACCAGGCCGGTTATTGGGTATTTGATACACGTCCCGCCCCTTTGCCATTGGCAATCCAACTTTGAGCTCAAATTTCTTGGTGTTGGGTTGTTGAATTTAAATAGTTCTTATATCAATCGACAGAGAAAGACTTGGCGCATCTAATGATAATAAGAATATTGAAATTGAGCAGCCCAAAACCAAGAAATTTGAGCGCAAAGTTAGATTGCCGATGGCAAAGGGACGGGGCGCGTATAAAAGGTTCCACAACCCCGCCCCCTTTGCCATTGGCAATCCAACTTTGAGCTCAAATTTCTTGGTGTTGGGTTGTTCAATTTAAATAGTTCTTATATCAATCGACAGAGAAAGATTTGGCGCATCTAGTGATATTAAGAAAATCTAAATTGGACAGCCCAAAACCAAGAAATTTGAGCTCAAAGTTAGATTGCTGATGGCAAATGGACGGGACGCGGATCAAATGTCTCACAATCGAATTCAAATGCACCGAAAATGCCAATATTCGGCCCAAAACGTTAGTATTTTTGCAATTTTCCCTTTCATGATCAATAAAAAAAATTAGACGTTTATTTTTCATCCACTTGAATGCTTCACAAGTATCATCGAGACTCGGCTCGTTTCCCGCGTTGGCGATTTCTCCATTCTAAAATAACTATGGCTTTGAAAAAACGAGCTTTTACCCGAACAAAATCCTCAATTGATCCTTGAAAACGGTACGATACTGTTTGCTAAACGTTTTTTTTTAGGTTTAAATGATATTTGTTACGATTACCTGTTAATGAACAATAGATAGTAGGGTTCCGAGTAGCTGAGCATTGCTGGGAATACCTGAAAAGTTAAAAAAGCTGAAAAAATTCAATTACACAATCGAAAGTTCGCTATGAAAACCATTTCTTCAATTATTTTTGTCTTAATTTTCTTTTTAGATTTACTTTTTTGAAAGTTCAAAATACGTGGCCGTTCAAATCTCAAGGGAAATCTTCGTGAAGATGAGAAAAAGACAGTACAAAGGTACTTTGAAAGTTTCAAGTACACAGGCCGTTCTTTTTGCGAATCGAAGGCACATGTATTTTTTATAAAAGTTTGAGTTTGTGATTCAAAAATGATCTTCTATAGTGTAGCGAAGTGGTTCAAGATTCGTTTAAGTAGACTTGTCTTGCACTTTGTGCTCAAAAATGAGATTTTCGTATTTCTGGCACATTTCATTTTCTATTTGATTTACGGATCTCACATAAGACTACTGGTTT